AGCGCGGGGGCCGGCCCGGGCCGCCCGCCTGCTCCCTCCCTCCTTCCCCGGGCGGCGGGGGGTGCCGCGGCTGCCCGGTGATGGCTGACAGCCGCCGCGGCCGGCTGAAGTACGCGCTCCGGCCCCTTTTAAAGAGGGTGGAATGGTTTCCGTGCCTCGTAAAACGCAGTTCACCGGCGGGGGCGGGGGGGTGTTTGTTTATTTTTTTACTCTGCCGCGTTGCTCTGCACGCTGACTGAGTGTACGGGCCGTGATTTAAGCTTGTTTCTCACCCGTCCCCCTCGACATCCTTTTAGTAAGGGAAGAACAGACCGCTGCCTTTTTAGTACTTTTTTTGCGTATATAAAAGACACTTAACTGGCGGGGTGGGTGGCAAATCATCGTCACCCGCTTCCCACTTCAGCAGCCTGCCGCCCCTGAGGTGCGAAGGCGTCGGAGCGCAGCGGCCGGAGGCAGGACTTCCCCGGCGAGGCCCTGGGACGAGCCCGCCGTGCGCCAGGTCCGGGTGCTGGGAGGTCGCTCCGTCTCGGGAGGGACCCTTGGCGCAGCGTCCCACTCGCCGGTTCCCTGGAGCGTGCTGCCGTGCCGGCCAAGGGGCTGGGGCTCTGCTCGGGCCCACCGGGCTGTCGGCGTGCGCGGTGCGTCGAGGCAAAGGTGAATTTTTTTCCCGGCTGGTTAAGGTCCTCAGCGAACTGCTGAGGAGTTAAGCAAAGTGCAGTAAGAGGCTGTCTTGGTGCTTTGGTTACTTGAAGTCCTTTCTGGAAAGTTGACCTTGTCGATTATTCTTAGTGGGCTACGGGAGGTGAGCGATGCTCTCTGATTTGTGCATCTCTGCTCAGAGAACAAGCACTTCGGTGGTGTTACAGTGGCTAGTGAAACTTCAGGGTGAACTAGGAAGGATACTGGATTGGTTTCATACTCCTTTAGCTGTGTTGTGGTCTGTACACTTTCATGAACTTCTTTGTATTTGACTGCCTCTTTCTTCAGTAAAATGGAACTAAGCTGTCCACATCTTGGGGATTGTTGTGCAGCTTACTTTATTATCTGTCATGTGCTGCAACATCTTCCAGGTCAGTTTGAGAAGCAAAACATACTCGGTTTGTAAGACAACAGGCCAAAAAGCTTAGCTTAAAGACCCCGAGAGGACAGATTTGCACAATAAAGTTGAGCTGTGTAGAGGGATGGGATGATGTTTCTCATTCCCTTTTGTAAGAAGGGAACCACCCAGAGGGAGTGGAAGGGTTGATAGGCAGGGCAAAGTAAACGGGCTTTGCAACAAGTCATAGACGTTTCTGCTCAAGACCTTTATTGGAGACTGGTTTCTGAATTACAGGATACTGTTTGTTGGAAGTAAATACTAACTGAAGTGAATAAATCGTTGGTACTTTCATAAACAGTGAGTCAGAATGTACATTCTGTAACCAGTATTTCTCATAAATAAGCCACGTATCTCAGGAAAAATGAAAACCAGCATGCGCATTGTGTCGATAAGCTCAGGGAACTGAAGAACAGGATGGTCTTGAAATGGAACAGAGCGTTCCAAGAAATGATTAATGTAGTGAACATCTTCAGATGTCTCTCTACTGACAGATATTGACCATCTGATGTCATGCTGCTGATCAGTATTTCTGTAGCAAAACCAGGAGCATACTGTGAAGAAAATACAATTTGGAAACATTAAGCGTACTTGTAGCTTTGTGGTTTAGCAATTGAGAATGAAAAGCTGTTCTGTAGCTCATTTCCTGGTGACCTTTGGATACATCTATAATTATAGTTAAGAGGATACTTCAGGATGCCTGTGCTAACCCATCGTGAAGCAGAAGTGATGCATCGTCTTATGTGTGGGCACGGTTCCTCACTCTAGGTGCAGGGAGCCCTGGGAGTTCTGTATGCTGAAATTTTTTTGGAAATGTTTTGGTGCTGGACACTTCTCTGCTAATACCTGACAAATTGCAGGAGTAGAAGTGAGGGGTTTCTTTACTTGGAATTTTAAATCTGCAGTGCTTACTTTAAAATTAAACAGCTTTTCTCAAATAAATGCATAATTGTCCCTGAATAACCCTGTATAAACAAATCTAGTTATGGAAATAAGCTTAAGATGTTAAGGGTTGAGATGGAAGGGAAAGAAAAGAAAGTTCCTATATGCAGCAACCCATGAATTTCAGGGAAGAGAGAAAAAGAGCAAGATGAGTGGATAAGGGATAACCCATCTGAAATTACTCCCAAAACAGCATGATTCTTTCTCTTCAGTAGCATACAATTGCTTCTGCCTTGATTTCTTAAATAGGCTTGGTTTCTAGCAGAATGCCATCCCTGCTGTACTCAAAGTTGAGCAGTGTTTCTGATAATCAGCGCAAAACATCAGGTACTCTAAAACCTACTTGTTTGCTACTACCTTTAGAAATTTATTGATCAGGAGCAAATAACAACTGGCTTACACTTGCCCTATTCCACAGAAGGAGAAAAAGCGTTATCTATTAAATTTTACATTCCTTTAACCTTTTTTCGTGCAGTGATGCTCAGTACTTTTACGTACAGGTTGCCAAGCACGCCGTTCAGTTTAAAACCCCCACCGAACCGTTGACAGTCCTCTTGGGAAGAAGATGTTGTCATCTGCTACGGGCACAGTCCGGAGGATGCAGGACCTCTTTCCTTTGACACATGGAGAGCAAGCAGGTGTTGCTGGCCGTTCTGCTTTGTTAAGCCTCTCGGTTATGACTGTGCCACGGTGCTCTAGCGAATTCCTCTGCTCTTCAGTGCTAATGCAGTGAGTGTGCAGCTGATGATTCCCACTACCTTTTGTCAGCTCCCAGAGAGCAAAGAAGAAGTTGTGTGAGAATGCACCCAAACTCTCGATTACCCTTTTTCTGGTTGGTTGCTTTATTTCTGGGCAGGGTTTTGTGTGTGTGAGCATGCGTGCAGCTGAAACTGTGCTGAACAGCATGCTTTCTGTATTCCAGAAGTTGCACGATCTGCATGCACGCAGAACCGAAACCCTGCACTTAGATGTTTTTCTTCTAGTTCTGAACTTGTTTGTGAGACACTCATGCAGTGCTTGTCTTGGATATGTACTTAATCAAAGTATAAAGAGATACTAGGAGGAATGACTAGGGCGCAGCAGCTTTACATTAAAAAGATTTTATGAAGGAACTGCAAATGGTTCAGGGGAGGGAGTGTGGACGCTACGTCCAACCATGTTAGCAGGGCCATTGTGGTAGATGTCCCTTTCTTGTGCTGCTGGATCTGCTTCAACCATTTGACATAGGCTGAGAAATTATGAGTTTTAAAAGTGTTTTTTACAACAGGAGATTTATCTCAGGAGGCTCTTTAGTGCATGGTTTGTGTGGAGGAACTGAATGCCTGAGCTTAATTTCTGAGCCATGTGCCGACAAGAAGGTGTCATATCAGTAACTGCTAGAGTGTTGAGCAGCAACTTTTCAATTGTTTTTTAAAATATCTGTGGAACACCCTGTCATGGTTTAACCCCAGCCAGCAACTAAGCACCACGCAGCCAGTCACTCGCTCCCCGCCCATCCAGTGGGATGGGGGAGAAAATCGGGAAAAAGAAGCAAAACCCGTGGTTTGAGATAAGAACGGTTTAATAGAACAGAAAAGAAGAAACTAATAATGATAACACTAATAAAATGACAACAGCAATAACAAAAGGATTGGAATGTACAAATGATGCGCAGGGCAATTGCTCACCACCTGCCGACCGACACCCAGCTAGTCCCTGAGCGGCGATTCCCCACCCCCACTGCCCAGTTCTTATACTGGATGGGACGTCCCATGGTATGGAATACCCCGTTGGCCAGTTTGGGTCAGGTGCCCCGGCTGTGTCCTGTGCCAACTTCTTGTGCCCCTCCAGCTTTCTCGCTGGCTGGGCGTGAGAAGCTGAAAAAACCTTGACTTAGTCTAAACATTACTTAGCAACAACTGAAAACATCAGTGTTATCAACATTCTTCACATACTGAACTCAAAACAGGACCATACCAGCTACTAGGAAGACAGTTAACTCTATCCCAGCTGAAACTAGGACACACCCCATAAAATTTTGAGAAGATAATTAGGTTATAAGACCAGCACCAGAAAGCTAGTGACTGTCTGGATTAAACTTCCCAGACTGGCCCGTTTGACTTCTTTGTTGGAATTCTTGTTGTAAGTAGTTGGACTTTGTAGCTGTGATTGAACTATATACAGGGCCAGTCAAGCCAAATACATACGTAACTGTGTCATTCCTTTTCACAGTCTCTGACCTGGGGTGCTGGAGCCTGGTTTGCAGCAGTGGTGAATCTCCACTGCTGGTGTTAATGGGAGCTGTGCTTTGGGCGTATGAAATACAATATATGTTGTACAGACAGGCCTTTTTGAAAATCTCATGAGGTAATGAAATCTGTGTCCAGAGCAGTTTCTTCATCGTTCAAACCATGAGTGGTAGAATAAGTCCTAGGTCCATACGTAGAGCAATGGAAAAAAAGCAGAATGTTGAATAGCAGCCGACTAAGTGTGTGCTGTCCATTCCTTGCACTGAATAATGTGGGGAGCTTGTAGGAATTGTGCCTCTGAAGACTGTGAAATGTACATTGATTGGGTGTTGATTAAACATTGCACAGACGGCATCAATTTTGTCACTTCCTAGGTTTTGAAGGCTTCTCTTGCAGTTGGAAACAGCGTGTATGCAGGCAGCAAAAATAGCAGGTTAAGATAGCAGGCGGATACCTGCTGATAGAAGTGATTGAAGTGCCTGTTTCCTTGGAAAGAACTGAAGTGTGCACTGTATATGTATTTGTATGTATTTTGCCTTGTTAGATAGGAAAAGATTTTAACAGACTGCTACAGAAGACCATACAAAAGATAAATGTTGATAACGGTATCAGTAGAGACAGTGTTTAGTAGGTACATCACTGTCAAGGAGAAAGAGCAGTGTTTATACTTCATGGCTATTAAGAGTATTATTTTTAATCTCCATTCTTTCATTTTTTCCTTTTAATTTTACTTCACTAGCAGAAAAAAAATTGTACTACTGAGTTCTAGTAATTAACTTTCTAGTAGGAAAATGTCATTTCTTTGGAAGATTAGTGAGGTTTTTTAAGGTTCAGAAAATACTGTAAAAGGAGTTACATGGACTTTGCTGTAAAATGGATTTGGTTTTCCTTCCTCTTTGTGGTTGTCTCAGGTTGTACTCTTCATACAGGCAACTTTACTAAAAGCATCAATTTAACAGATTGGACAAACTGAAATAAATCATTATGTGCCTATAGTGGAAATCTGTTGGCTTTATGCATGAGTTCAAATTTGGGATGCAGAAGTCTTTGCCAGCTATCCTTCTCTTTATTTTTATTCCTTTTTTTTTTTTAATCGATTTAATACATATAATCCCTTCTAATTGTTGTATCTTGAGTGTCCTGAGTAGTTACAGAATCGGACTCCTCTTTGCTTTCTCTCCTTTTGGTTAATATTCTTTGAACTTGAGCCACTTTACAGCATCAAAGAGGTGAGAGTATGGAAGGCACGACTAGCTCAACTTTGCTTATTTTGTCTTAAGTCTTTGCATCAGGTACGTAGAAGTCACCATGGAGAGAATTACGACATGAAGCAGACTGTTTCCTCTGCCTGACGCTCTGCTTTGCTTTGAGTGCCGAGCTGTGGCAGCACACAGACACACAGCATAGCCAGTTGTAATGTAAAAGTGATAGCGTGACAGCAGCGAACCTCCTTGTGAGCTGTACCAGGGTTCTGGTGGCTGTGAAACAGCTCTTGGTACTCCGTGTGGCAGATTGAGCGAGCCCAGGTACGCTGTGAGGTGGATTCATGCCATGAAGCGTTAGAGGATGATGCTGGCTTGAAGTATTGCAGCTCTCCTTCAGCCACTTTGTGAAATTACAGCCCTGTCATTTCGTATCCTGGCACAGTTTAATCCAAACAAAGACTGCAGTACCTCCAGTGTCAGCGGAAGGAATGATAAACTTAATAAATCATTAGCTTCAGAGGCTTGCTCCACTGCAGGCCGTTGCTGTCTGCCTTCCCTTCTTTCTCTTACTTTCCAAAAAGAGCATTGCAGGCTCCTCTGTGCAGTTGAATAGCACATGCTCCAAATACCAAACACGGTCTTTGCAACACATGTGAACTCTCTTCTCTGATGAGGGTAGGGCTGCTGGCCTTCAGAGAGGCAACTCCTCTCAGCATGCTATGTAGCACTACATGCAGGTGCTGAACTTTTGAATTCATGATTGAGCATCTGGCTCTTGAATTGCTGAACCTTCTCCCTTCAGAATGACATTAGCTCGCATTTTTCCAAGGGAATGGCTTAACTGTCTTTTGCCCTCAGCATGCAAGTTGCTGATACTTGTTGTTCTTCTCTTGACAGGCTGCTGATACCCTTGCTGTGAGGCAGAAGAGAAGGATCTATGATATCACCAATGTTTTGGAGGGGATTGATCTCATTGAGAAGAAGTCAAAAAACAGCATTCAGTGGAAGTAAGCTATGTCAATTCTGCAAATTTTCACATGCTCAAGAGCAATAAAAATTGCCTCTTTCCACTTCTGACTAGATATGACACCATAAAATTAACATTACGCTCATCGATGAGCAATACGACATTTTAGAATTACGGTAAAGTTGCAAATGAGCTTTACTTGTCTTCCCTTTAACTTGCATCTTTGATACATAAAATTAAGTTTAAAGCATACAGGAGAGAAACTTGCAGAAAACTTGTAGTGCTACTTTATAACTAGCACTTGTAGTTGAAAATTTACTCTAGATGAATCTGGAGGGGTATTGGGACACAGTGTCTTCACCCAGCTACACTCCTGTTGTCCATGCCTATTTTCTGTTGGGTCACTGAAGGTGGAAGCTCAAGCTGAGTTAGAGGGGAAGGAGGAAGGGCCTGCAAACCACCTCCAATGCAGAAAAAACCTACATTCCAAAATAAAATAAATTTTAGTAGAGGGGAATTCTAAATTTGATCTGAAGTTAAGAATTTTCATTTTTCTGTTAAAACATTCTTGGGAGGGTAAACGCTCATTTCCTTCATATTGAATATTAGTAGATTTTCAAGTTGAAATTATCTTTGCGTGTTTGCTTTAGATTTTCACTTGTGGTTTCATGAACCCTTATGCCTTTTTAAGAGGAGTAGGTGCTGGCTGCAATACGAAAGAAGTCATAGACAGGCTGAGGTATCTGGAAGCTGAAATTGAAGATCTAGAGCTTAAAGAAAAAGAATTGGATCAGCAGAAACTGTGGCTTCAGCAAAGTATCAAGAATGTCATGGATGATTCTACAAACCACCAATATCCTTTTAAATTAATTGTGTGCATCTTGGAATTAGAATTAAAGCAACAGTTAAAAGTGTAGGTAACAGATAAAGCATAATGTAGTCCATTTTATCCAGAAGCGTGGAAAGGCAAATATTTTTTCTGGTTTTGGTTCAAAAAGAAAGAAAATACAAGTCTTATTTACATGACTTTTTAACTTCTGTGACTGTATGATTGGTAACCTGAAAATAATTTAGCACATGTGTATATATATACACACACATATATATATGGCAGTAATTTTAAAGTCCATAGTATAATCCTGGTGTCTTATTTTAAATTAATTGTATTGCTTTCCAACACTTGAACATATACTTTCTTACCAGTGCTTTACATCAGTCTTTTTTTGTGTTGCTTCCTTTTCTTGAAAAGATTAATCTATCGCCCAAAGATAAATTGAGTTGACAAAGTCCTGAAGCTTGTTGGGTTTGAAACTGGAAAAAAATCCTGTGTGTAAATACCCCATGAGCAGAGGGTTCCAGCTACACTGCTTGTAACCATGTGTTTAGCTGTCTTGCAAGATATTGAGCAAATAGACACCTGGGATTGGGAGCAGGAAAGTTCCCTTCTTATCTATAGCACCAGTGATAAGTACTTAAAAATTACTTGAGTTGCTCTACAGAAACTGTTCTTGTAAAATGGATTTTGTAGCAAAGGAGATTGAAGTTAGATGTTAGGAGAAATTGTCCTTTGGGAGAGCTAGCACTGGAATTGACTCCCCCGGGGAGATGGTGGAATATCCATCACTGGAGGTTTTCCGGGGAGGGGAGTCAAATGTCTGTCTGGAATGTCTTAACAGTTGATCCTACCTTGAGGCAGGGGAATGGGATGGCACATGAACTCTCAAGTCCCCTCTGGCAATTTTTTTGAGTGATTCTGGGAAGTCCTGATACTTACTTGAGTCCTACAGTGTCAAGTTAGTGAGGTAAATGGTATTCTTCAAAACAAGATTTTACATGTTGTCCTTTTTTAGAAGACTCTCTGCTCATTCAAGCTACACAACCTTTTTCTTTTTGTATTTTCTTCACAGATACAGATTTTTTTTCTCCTTTAAAAAACAGAACTCTGCTATTGTTAACTAGCCATTCTGAAAGCCAAAAATCATGCCTTGATTACACCTCTGAGTAACAGCAATAAGTTTATAGTTTAGGCTCAGTTTGGATGAACTTCTTTTAAAGGGCAACAAATACCAGTTTCATGTTGCTTTAAGAAAAATGTTCCTTGACATAAATTACGTTTTCATATGTCACCCATGAAGATATCTGCAACTGCTTCAATGGTAAGTTGCTGCTAGGCTGTATTTCTTCCAGTGAGGGATTTCCTGATCTTCCACTTGAAAACTAACTTGCTAATTATCCTGCTTTTTCCCTGCAAGTATTTTGAATTTAGAAGTATTTTGAATTTAGAAGTATTTTGAATTTAGAAGTATTTTGAATTTAGAAGTATTCAGTAGTGATCAGTACTAAGCAATAGTGATCAGTACTAAGTAGATGCCTCTCATAATGTTCATCACTAGCAAGTTCTGGCATTTTCTAGTTGTAGTCACAGATTGTGTAAAACGGAAGCTTAGCTGCTTTTGGAGTACTGGGTTTTGATGTCTTTTTCTGTATTCATACTTTGCAGCAGCTTGCCTTAGGCTGTTAATGGCACCAGGGACAGGACATGTTGGTCCAACCCACCAGAAAGATGAGGCAGGTCGAAATTTCATAACATTTTCTGGTGGCAGCTGTGGCCACAGGGAGCTCCTGATGATGCTGTATATAAATGGAGCCAGCTAAAGTTCAAAGATGTGGCATTGCTGCTAAATCAAAAAGATTCCTTTTGTACAGGAGGTTTGAAGAAATTGCCAAAAATTGCAGATAGTATCATAGAATCATTTAGGTTGGAAAAGACCTTCAAGATCATCGAGTCCAACCATCAACCGTGCCCACTAAACCGTGTTCTGAAGTGCCTTGTGTACGTGCTTTTTGAATACCTCCAGGGATCATGACCCCACCAGTTCCCTGGGCAGCCTGTTCCAATGTCTGACAACCCTTTCGGTAAAGAATTTTTTCCTAATATCCAATCTAAACCTCCCCTGGCAAACCTTGAGGCCATTTCCTCTCATCCTATCACTTGTTACTTGATAGAAGAGACCAATACCCACCTGGCTACAACCCCCCTTCAGGTAGTTGTAGAGAGCGATAAGGTCTCCCCTCAGCCTCCTCTTCTCTAGGCTAAACAACCCCAGTTCCCTCAGCCGCTCCTCATAAGACTTGTGCTCCAGGCCCCTCACCAACTTGGTTGCCCTTCTCTGGACATGCTCCAGCACCTCCATGTCTTTCCTGTAGTGAGGGGCCCAAAACTGAACACAGTACTCGAGGTGCGGCCTCACCAGTGCCCAGTACAGGGGGACAATCACCTCCCTCCTCCTGCTGGCCGCACTATTTCTGATACAAGACAGGATGCCGTTGGCCTTCTTGGCCACCTGGGCACACTGCTGGCTCATATTCAGCTGGCTGCCAACCAGCACCTCCAGGTCTTTTTTGGCCGGGCAGCTTTCCAGCCACTCTTCCCCAAGCCTGTAGCGCTGCATGGGGTTGTTGTGATCCAAGTGCAGGACCTGGCACTTGGCCTTGTTGAACCTCATACGATTGGCCTCAGCCCATCGATCCAGCCTGTCCAGATCCCTCTGTAGAGCCTTCCTACCCTCGAGCAGATCAGCCCTCCCTCCCAACTTGGTGTCATCTGCAAACTTGCTGAGGGTGCACTCAATCCCCTCGTCCAGATCATTCATAAAGATATTAAACAGAACTGGCCCCAATACTGATCCCTGGGGAACACCACTTGTGACCCACCGCCAACTGGATTTCCCCCCATTCACCACAACCCTCTGGGCTCGTCCATCCAGCCAGTTTTTCACCCAGCGAAGAGTACACTCATCCAAGCCATGAGCTGCCAGCTTCTCAAGGAGTATGCCGAGAGAGACAGTGTCAAAGGCCTTACTGAAGTCCAGATAGACAACATCCACAGCCTTCCCCTCACCACTAGGCAGGTCACCTGGCCATAGAAGGAGATCAGGTTGGTCAAGCAGGACCTGCCTTTCATAAACGCATGCTGACTGGGCCTGATCCCCTGGTTGTCCTGCAAAGAAGTTACTTCCCTTGACATTCTCTCCTGATCCTGGGGTACCCAAGGGAAGAATTGTTCAGCCTCCAGCTAGGCTCAGAACCATCTCTTCCTTGCTACAAGGAAGGTTGGGTTTGGTTTTGCATAAAAATGCAAGATTAGACAACTACTGTGGAGTTCAACAAAACTAAGCTGTTACTGAAGAGTTAGTCATTACAAAATGTGGAGGCATCTAGTATGCCAGTCACATAGTAAATACTTCATCTAAGTGTCTCTTAGGAGGAGAGAAGGAAAAGCATTATTCCAAGTTATGGACAGAGGGGAAATGATGTGCAGGTAGGCGAGTGACCTGCAGTGTAAGGCAGGTTGTGCCAGTGCTGCTGATGTAATTGTGATCTCTCGACTTTAAACAATACGTTTTAGTGTCCATAGTAAGCTACAGGTGAGTTTGATAGTCAGTTGTTACATCCTAGTTGTATGTGCTGCAGAAACTGTAAGGTTAGAAGTGCTGGCACTGAAGACGATCATTAATACCTTTTCTTCCTTCTGTTAAATCTTTCTGTACTGCCACCATTCTTCAAAGCCATAAAGTGAGCTGGACCGGAGAGCTGTTTTAGCTGAAAAAGAAACTAATTAATTTTTTCACCTCACGTTAAGTATACAGCTAGGAGATCTGGGGACAGTAACAAACAGGTAAAGGAAGTAGTAAATCTGGTATCGCTATGAGAAAAGATTCTTGCAGCTATGGTCTTAAGTATTGGAATTCTGTGGTTTATATTATGCTATATACTTGAATCTTAGAGGAACTCTGCAAGTCCCACCACAAGTTTATTTATGCTAGAATTATGCAGTATTTTAAGTGGCCTTAGAGAATTACCATATCTCATTTGAGTGGATACCTTGCAAGACTTAAGAAAAATATGCACACTTAACAGTTTCTTAAAAATTGCTATTTAACCAGGAGACACACTTCTAGCAATTCAAGCACCTTGTGGTACACAGTTAGAAGTACCTATACCCGAAATGGTATGTACTGGTTTCTTGTTTACCTAAATGTTCTAGAGGGACAGTGGAAAAGAAGAGCTACATTAGAGCGAAGGGTTTATCTCTTATCTGTGTGCAAGAGGGGAAAGAAATAAAAATTAAGATGGTTTCAGTTCAGAAAAGAGAGGCTGGGTGGGGAAAAAGTGGGGTTTGTACACCTAGATAGACTAATGGTAACTCTGTCTTCTATTAAAAACAAGATATAGTAGTGGGTTTCTTTGCCCTCTCTTCTTCTCTCATGCTTTTAAATGTTGCAACTTTCCAAATTAGGCATAATTGTCATGAATTCCCTTTAGAACTTATTAGCAGTGACTTTTATGTTTCACATTTCTCTGTTGTATTGTTAAAACAGATCTCTTACAAAAAAGCCCTTTAGATTTAGTTGCAGGTTTCATTTAGATTTAGTTTATGTTTAGTCTCATGGTACTAGACTGGATAGAGAAACAGACTGCAATCTTGCTTTAGCCAAAAGGCTTAAATGGGCAAGATTAAAGCAGGAGGCCAAATTACTTACCTCTGTCCCTCTTTGATTTTTTTTTTTTTGTTGCAGTGCTCTGTTTTAAATAGGGTTTACATAGTTGGGAGAGAGCATTGTATGAAGCATGATAGCCACTATGCTTGTAGAAGGCTGAAATTCACCTAAGAAGTTTCACAAGCTATTTTTAGTGAGGCTAAGCACAGTCTAATATCGTAAGAGCATCCAAAGCTAGAACCATGAAGCTGATCAGTGGTACTATGTTTATCCGTCTCTGCTGAAATCAGTTCAGGCAATGGTAAGGTTCTCTGTGGGACCAACGTTAGCAGCTGTGATACTGGGGTGGGGTTTTTGGCTTTTTGTCAAAGACAGCTGATCTTAGTCTTCATCACCAAGTTCAAATTGGATGTTTTTGTTTTGGTTCCCCTTCTCCGAGGCTCCTTTCCCACTCTTCTCATCCTCATTTTTTCTAGAACATACTTGCTGAAAACCTGTTTGCTAAATTAGCCACTGCAGAGTCAGCGATCTCACTGAGACTGTGCTAGGGGAAGTTAGTCCTAGCTGTATTGCTTAAGTAACTTGCCAAAAGAAGGCCTGGCAAATCAGCTGAGAAATTGTTTCTACTGACTCATGATCCTGTGCTCACTCACTCTGGATGAGATATCCAACTGTTTTAGGATGCTTGGTCCCAACCAAGATCATTCTGAAGCTCCATTTAAAAGGAAGAGATATAAATGTACAGAAATCATTATTTATCGTTGTTATTGATAAGATGTAGCCCTGCTATAATTCTCATGTAACTTGAATTCAAGATTTAGTTAAGCACTTCAAAGAATTGTATATTTGTGTCCTCTGTAACTGTGTTCTGGTCAGGTAAATACATTACAGGTTTGTAATCTGGTTTGGGTTTGGTTTTTTTATTAGATCACACATATTAGTTTTAAATTTTTTTTTTCCTGAGTATGATTTTTTAAGTTTGTGCCAATTCTTAGCTCTTCCTAGCAATCTAACTAGAAGAGCGCTGTATTTATCTTCTGCATCAGTTTGAGAATTCTGTTCAAACATCTTCATTATTTTCTGTGGGAAATAAGGCTATGCAGTTACTGTTATGTTTTGTAAAGTTCCAAGTTCTCAAGGAACGGTAACTTTCAAAATATACCACCTTCACAGGGACAGAATGGACAGAAGAAATACCAGATCAATCTTAAAAGTAGTTCAGGACCTATCCATGTGCTGCTTATAAATAAAGAATCAAGCTCCTCCAAGCCCATGGTGTTTCCAGTTCCTCCGCCCGATGACCTTGCACAGCCCCCATCTCAGCCTGCAGCTCCAGCGACTCCTCTTAAACCTGCTACAGCTCCTCAAAATCCACCAGAACATGATCTGAACCAAGGACAAGAGTTACCACAAACATCAGTTGCGGACACGCCATCAGGTGGGTCCAGGGTTTTTCTTACCTCAGATGGGTGGGGGAGGTAGGGAACTGGAGGGAAAGAAGAAACTGTTAGAAAAGGTGGTAGATAAAGGAAAGATCAAGAATTTGCATAGCGTAGCATCTGTCTGTTAAGAAACTATCCCAAGGGCTTACCAACAGCTCTCAAGAGGTTAGAGAGAACCCTCTTCTTCTGTCTGGTGAAACACATTCTTCCCTTGTAGCTTATCATCTTATACCAAACAGGTTTTGGATGTGATCCTGTTAATTATTCTGAGGTGCTTCTCCAGAAATGCAGTATGGAATGAAATTGCCAACGTCTAACGGAGGACATGATTTGAACATGTACTTTTTAATGAGACAGATAATACAGGCACCAGTTCCAGGTTTTGTGCCACAAGGTCACTTACCTTCTTCCACATAGCCACAATGAGAGCTGCCTGAATATCAGGTTGGGGTTTTTTTCGTAATAATAGTAGGGTAATAGGAAAAGATTTTAGAAAATGCTGTCATTGTTACAGACTGCATTTCTGAGGGTCCTGATTAAATAGTGCCTGTGACTTTGGAAGGGGGAGACTCCTCTCACCTCATCCCAGACACTGGCCACGTTCTCAAAAGACAAAGTCGGGTGCAGGCGTTTTGTGTTGCCTTTTACTGTAACAGACGTTTTAATATGCCTTTCGTGTCTTTGTAGACGGCAGTGTGCAGCAGAACAGTACAACCCCAGCAGCTCCTTACTCCAGCCTTCCAGAGTCAGTGTTGTACCCCAGCCTTTCAGGAGATGTCACCCAAGCTACAGCTAGCTCAAATGACTACCAGGGTTTGCTGCCCCTGGATGTTAACTGTATTCTCAAGCCAAACTCATTTGACATAGCAAAGATGGAAGAGCCCACAGGTAGGAAGCAGTAGTTACTGTTTAAATGTTTTTATTAGTTGCCTGAGCCCTTCTTTGTGACCAAGTTACTGATCAGTTACACAGAGGAAATGACAGGCCTCTGTTTATCTCCTAATGAAGCCACTGAGCCAGCTCTGAGTAGCAAACTCATTTTGAGCAAAATACCTTTCTCTGCCACCAAATAAGCTTCATATTGTACATGGCTCTAGGGTTATAAGGGATCAGTGGGAGAAATGTATCAGGAAAAACTGAGGGATACAAAGATGAATATATTTTACGTATACATGGCGTGCTATCTCCACAGCTCCTACACTGCACGAGCCATACTGTACTTTGCAGTTCTGTTTTAATGTGAATATTGTTGCCTTTCATAAACACATGCTCTTGTCTTTCACAGGAAATATCAGTGGGGATATCATTGATGAACTCATGTCTTCTGACGGTACGTATTTAGCATCTTTTCTAATAATCACAAGTAGCAGCATGGTTTTTGTGTGAACAGCACTCTTAGTAGGTGTCTGTTAAATCTGATGCCAAGAGTCAGTATGAAACTACTTCTTTCCCCTGTACTGCCTCCTCTTATCTTTGTCATTCTTGTCTTTGCTCCCCTTTCCATTCCCTGCAACAGTTTTATTTAACAATCGAAATATGAAAGCCTTAATCCAGCAAGCACTTACATGCATGAGTAACTCACCAGTCCTTAACTCAGGAACAAAGAAAGAACAGGCTGATGACTAGAGTGCTGCCTTAAAAAAAAAAATCTGGTTTAATTCTGTTCTGCCTCAGGCTTCCTGCAGGAGCTTTGAGTAAATATTTCAGAACATATTTACATGCCTGCATGCAGACTGATACATGGCCAGCTGTGATACACTAACAGAACAGACAAATGTCACCCACTTCTGCTCTTGCACCTCGGTGGCCATGAGTGCAGAACTGAACCACAGCTAGTAAGATCGTATGCTCCCTGCCTCTCTGCTCTATCTCACTGAGGTGCAGGCAAAGAGGTGAACTCAGCTGGCATTGTTCCTCTTGCCCTGCGCTCTGTAAGCAGCCTGTACTACTATCTGCCCTCCAAGCAGACCTCAGGGCTTATCCAGAAAGAACCACGTAATTGTAAGATCCGAGGGGCATGATGGGATTATGTGAATGTGCCAGTACGCTGCTGAAATGGAAATAGTTTCCACTTTCAGAGCAGGTACAGCATGCCCAGCTCATCTGCACTAGGTTAGTGTTCCTGAGGTGCAGCATGAGGGCTGAGGCTTCTCTTCTTGCATTCCCTCCCCAAAAGATGGCTTCAAGTCCATGCTTGAAATGCAGTGCACAGAGAAACTGCTAGCCTCCACTTTTCATCTGTAAAATAGGGATAATGGTAACTTCCTTACTTAAAACGATAAATATTTGAAGGCTGATATATGCAATACTGTAACAAGATGAAGGAATATAAACGGCTTTCTGATGAAAGTTTCAAAAGGTGCTCAGGAGCTCCTTTGCTGCAGAAGGAGAATTTAAGTCCATATTCCACAGCTATCACTCCGTTTCAGCAACTTCACTTAAAATACAAAGCAAAAAATGTAGACATGTCACTTACTGCCTTAGTTTGAAGGCAATACAGGTATTCACAGTATGTATCCTAGCATGCTTGTCAGATTATCAAGACCATTTTAATTATTAAGACTAACCCTGATAGTGGTGATGACAAACATACTGAATTATGAGATAGGGCTGATATTCCAAAAGTGTTTTAATTTAAACTAAACTATTCCTGCTTTACAGTTTTTCCTCTCTTACGACTCTCTCCTACTCCCGGAGATGACTACAACTTTAACCTGGATGATAATGAAGGAGTCTGTGATCTCTTTGATGTGCAGATACTAAATTATTAGATATTGTGTCAACCAGACTACTTATCTACCTCTAACTATAACATTCTAGACTTCTTCATAACCTAAGTATTTGAATAATGAATGTATAACTTCTTAGTTCACTGACTCTGGGAGTATATTTCCTTTTGCTTCCTTTAACTACTTCACAAAACAAATTCAACAACTAGAAAAAAGGGCTTTTATCAAAAATTCTGGCAAGTTTTTTCACCTGAGTGCCCTCTGTGTAATCCAGTTATTTGGAATTTTCTTTACTAAGAAAAGTGAAAATGCTTTATAGCCTTTTGATCATTTTTTAAAAAATGATTAGGCTTCTTGCTCACAGTTAACAGCATTTTCTTTGAAGCTTTACTGCCAAGAAGCTTTCTGTATTTTTTTTTAACCTTTCAATCAATTTTGAAGCTTTCACTGCCAAGCTGAAAAGTGAAGGATATCAACTTGACTTATGCTAAATTGTTTCAGTGAACCAATTTTGTGAAGTGCCTTCTGTTTTAGCACTTTAAGTTTCTCACACTGACTTCTGACATTCCACTTTCCTAGATGATAGGAAAGGTCTGTTTGTAGTTTGTATTAAAGTGTGCCAATACTTGTATATTAACAAGATTTTTTTTAATAAAATTGTACAAACAAAGCCATCAGTATTTGTGATCTTCATTTCTTGCAATCCCTTCATTGTCCATTATGCATTACAACTGAGATAACAGGCTTGTGGCAGCATCCACATTTGCGGGTTCCTCTTCCAGATTTGTGGAAACCTGAAAAAAAAGGACTTTCAGTTTAAAGTAGAAAGCAATTTCTTTTTAGTCTTCTTGGAAGAAAAACACTAATAAATACTTGTTGTCTAGAAGATTAGTTTGTCTTTACATATTTAATTTAGGCTAATTTTGCAGTCATCATTCAATAATTTGGGGGATTACAGGATTCACTAAACTTGACAGATAAGCAGCCGATACTTTATTCTGCAGGAGAAAGACAAAGCATCATGCCAGTAACGTAACATACATGACCAAACGGAAATAGGCTCAGCTTTTAGTTCGCAGGCGCTCTTGACAGCACTTTTGCAGTTTTGGAGAAAATACTATTACAGCCTGAGGGACTCAACATTATGTCATGTATAGCCCTACTAGCAGAGGACCAGTGGTATAGTCCGAATTCCTGGCTGTCTGCAATAACAAACTAGCAGGGACAGGGCTGCTGGCACCAACTGCCTTGAAACCCTTGCTCGGCCTCATCCTGTGCTGGCAGCGCTGTCATCTACGTTTCATTTTTCCCTCAGCCTCTCCTTAAGGCATTTCACACTCATGTTGTTGCTCCCAGCCATACAGAAACTTGATCACCCCAGGCACAGTAAATAACACTCAACCCATGTCCACTTCTCCCAACTCCCTCTACTTCCCCCAACAGCCAGGATGGATTCATCTGTACCTCATCCTGGCCCACTGCTTTCTCTCTCCCCCAAACCACATCCAGAGGACCAGAAAGAGTCAGCATAAAGAGTTTATACAGAGGAACTCGTCAGAAATTAAGTTCTGTGAATTATTTCTTGTGCAAGGCTGCACGTAGCCCTGTTTAAGAGACTAGATGAAGGAAGACAAGTGAAACACTGTCTTGAACCTTAAGTGCTACAGAAGAGGTCTAGTACAGAAATTGCAGTTTCAGGTGTTAGTAGATCTGGTGAGGGAATAGGAAGGCTTGGGGATTGGAACAGAAAGAGGCAGAGCTGTTTAGTTCAAAGCACTATCAGGTTCTTCAGGTAGGGAATGGCAAGGTTCATCCTTACTTTGTGTCTATCCATCCATGTTGAGACATAAGTCTCAAATCAAGCGGCTGCAGCTGGAATTAACTTTAAGTAAAGAAATTAAAAAACAGCTACAACATAATTTTAAAATACGTTTTTGGAGCATGCTCCAGCTTGGCTGCCCACCCTCTTCTCTTTTTACTTTAGTAGTTATATAGCACTTGAATATTCAACATTACAACACAACTGAAATTAATAAAGCTGGTTTTATAGCTTTAAAGCAACCGCATGAATTGTCTGCAGTCTTAGAGCCAGAATATAATGCTTTGAACATGTGTAGTCCTTTCATTTCCCTCCTCAGATTTTTACAAAGAGAAATTACCTTATGACTCTTCTGAGGTTCTGCTGTAGTGCCTTTTGATAGATGCTGTACTTCTTTCTGAACTTCAGCAAATGCTTTATTTATTGTGCTAACTTTCTCAGCATTTTTAATGTTTATCTGGGAGAAAAGAAAAAACACACATTGGTATTTTTAACAGAAATTCCAATGGCATGTGGAATTGCACCATTTTTGTACACACAGCCAGCATTATGTGCATATTAGTAAGTTTATCTGTTAATTATATCATCTAGTCATGTACTACTGATGTTCTAATAAATTGAAAATTATGAAAGCAGTTAAACTTGCTCTATTGGAAAGGGAACCCATAGTGATCCAGAAACAGAACACAGAGAAAGCAAAAGCTAGGCTGTAGACAGGCCCTGCTATACTGCCCTCAGCTCCTCTTAGCTGGAGTCAAGTTCCAGGAAGGGTTCCTTCCTTCATTTGTGTAGTGGGTTGACCCTGGCTGAGCACCAGGTGCCCACCAAAGCTGCTCTATCACTCCCCCTCCTCAGCTGGATGGG